GTGTGTGTGTCACATAACTCCTCCTAAACAGCTGTTCGAACCAACTCTTAAGTGGTACCAAATGAATCGTCTCGGCTCTGAGGTTTGCACAAAGGAAAATATTTTCACTCCATTCTTTGGAGAACCTGGGTATTTCACGAAAACACTTTTACGGGGATTCCCCAAAAGTGGAACCCAAATTTGATTTATATTAAAGCATGTAAATATAGTAGTTCAAGCATTACATTTACTTTAGGGTTACCCTGTGTCAAGGTTTTGTATATGGGCTTCGATTCTTTACAGTAGATGTCTGTGACTTGGCGATAAACTCAAAGAATAAACAGACAGCACACAATCCATTTATTTTGAAATAATATATTCACAACAAGTCAAACGTATGTACAAAAATCTTTTACACTATAGGATGTTGGATATAAAACTCTAAATAATTCTCTTTTTTTTTGTCAAAAGTCCACACAGGCTTATTCAATTAGTTTAGAATCCAATTGACAAGACAAATTATTTTCCTCTATTTTGTTTCTTACTATACAATCTGCAATAAATTCACTTATGTTACCCTGTGGGTTACCGCACTTGCATTCAGAACCTTAAATAATTGTCTCATTTTCATCAGAGTCCGCACAGTCGTATTCAATTACTTTAGAACATCCTTGGCAAGACAAATTATTCTCCCTATCTCTGTTAAACTGTGAAACTCACTTTAAAATATCACTCATTATGGCTGAACAAACAATCACGCAGTCTAATTTCACTTTTTCTGACTTAACTTGACTTGTGCTCACTTTGTCGCCTATGTATATATATTTCGACTCAGGCCTAGAACTTTCTACAAACTAGGAGACGCTATGATGTAACAATACCTATTTAAGGCAGTGAGAAAAATACAGAAGGTTCGAGTAATGTGACGTCAAATTACAACATTTGAACTACACACACAACGTACAACTCTTACCGAGTTACGAAACGAAATTTGTCTTAACTATCGCCTTTTAATACTCTTGTTATGAAAACTAAATAATCTTTAAATATTAAATCACTAAATAAACTAAATAATAACTCTTATTATACTAAACAGTCTTGTATATGCAACACCCTTTAAATGTGGGTCATAGGCCTACCGGGTCACTAAATGATGCCAAACGAATCCTTTCAGCCTCTAGGTTTGCACAAAAGTAAAAGTTTTCATCCAGCCTCTTAGGGAACCTGAGTATTTCTCAAAAATACTTTTATGATGATTTCTCGAAAGCGGACCTCATATTTGACATTCATTGACATAAGAGCAGGTAAATAAGTATGACTGATAGCTGTTCCTAACTTGGTTTAAGAAATTAAGTTTTCATTATAACGGCAATTATCATTAAATTGAAAAGTGCAAAATAATAGTTCAAGAATCAGATTTCCATAATAGCGCCCCTGCAATTATGGGCCACAGGCCCAGGGTTCGTTAGTAAGTAAGGGATTAGAAAACAAGTAGCTTAATACAAATGTTCTGTGTTTTTATGAGGTAAATATACATGACTCTTAGTGTTTCTGTATATATTCTAGGCCTTCTTGTGGGGAGGGCGAGTTGATGGACTCCAATGTTATTTGCACTGAAATGCAGCCCACATGCCGTTTATCCTTATACGGAAAAGTCTCTTTGGTTTAACTACAATTTGTATGTTTTTCTCGGGTAAATATACCTGGCTGACAGCGCTCTGTATTATAACAAACTGTATATATTCAAGACCTCTCTGGTGTAAAAAGGATTGATTGACTTACACTTTTGATAAATATGTAGTTTATAAATATGTATCACTCATAGTACTTCTATGTGTATTTCAAACCCTGTGGCAGCAAAATGGACTTCTAGAACCTTTTTTGTTTGTTTCTTTCTTTTGGATTGAAATGTATTCCACGTGCCATTTATTATTATATGTGAGAATCGGTCTGGCTCAACCACAGTTCTGTGATTTCCTAGGGTAAATATAGGTATTGTTACGTCTCCGTTCGTTAGTTGATTTTCGGTAACTTCGTTCCGAATCATAATTTGAATTATAAGTATAATTTGGATGGGAATAACCTTAACAGTGTTATGAAAAAGAGGGATTTTGGTGTAGTCTTTTAAACCATCCAAGTAATGTGCTGTTGCTGGTGGTAGGACAAATAGGATTTTAGGTTGTATTTACAGAATTATTGAATACAAGGCTATATGTCACTGGTTAGGCCACATTTGGAGTATTGTGTTCAGTCTTGGGCTTCTTACCTTAGGAAAGACATTGAATTGTTGGAAAGGGCTCAGAGGAGGGTTACTAGATTTGTGCCAGGGATGGAGTATTTATCATATGAGGAAAGATTAAGGTCTTTGAAATTGTTTTCTCTTGAAAAAGAAGAGTTAGAGGGGATCTGATTGACATGTTTAAAATTGTAAAGGGAATTGATAGCGTAGATGAATCATATTTTTTCATACTTAACGGTGAGAATAGTAGGACACAAACATAAATTTTGTTAAGGTAGGAGTCATCTTCAGCTAAGACAGTTTTATTTTTCTAACAGGATGGTTGGCCTCTGGAATGGTTTGCTTTCAGATGTTGTGGTGGCAGTAAATTTTAGTGAGTTTAAGAGAAAGCTTGATAATTATATGAATTTTAAGATTTTTGTTTATTAAATTATAATAGTTTAGAGGATATGATAACCAAGATGGACTAATAGGTCCTTTGTTGTTTCTAAACATTATATTATTTTAAGACGTAGCAGCTACCAACTAATAGTGGGAACAACGGTTTTAACTTTTATTTAACCAGCAAGTGTTAATTCTATATTTCAGTGAAGTCAACTCAATATTGCTAATTAGGTCGATCAGTTTCTTATGTCTTTCAGGTAGTGTTGTTGCCAATGGGAAACTAAATATGATTTTGGATTGTATCTACTGGAATGTTGAATATAAGCTAATAAAGGTAATAATTTTTTTTGTACAGATCCCTGGTTAGACCTCATTTAAAGTATTGTGTTCTGTCATTGAATCTTTACTTTAAGAGAAGTACAGTGAGTTGGAAATAGTTCAAAATGAGGGCTAATAGGATGATATCTGGGATGACGGTGTTGTCATATGTGGACAGGTTGAGTTGCTTAAAAGTGTTTTCTTTTTTTGCTAAAAGAAAGGTTTCAGGGGATCTCTTCAAAATTATAAAGGAAAAATATAGAATTGATGTATCTTTTCTTGTGTGTTTAATGGTAAGACTGGTAGGACTAAGGGGCATGAATTTGAAGATTGGCAAAGAAGAAGTTATCTACAATTAAGACATATTGTTTTTCAATCAGAATGGTCAGTCTTTGGAACAGATTGCGTTCAGATGTGATAGATGCAACAGGATTGAGAAAGTCCAAAAAGAGTGCTTGATGAGTCCCTGGGGAGTCAGGGCTGGCTATAGACAGATAAATCTTTAATTAAATGACTGGGAGAGCCATAATAAACCAAGGGGCCTATTTTTGCTCTTCAAATATCATGTCATTTCAGAAACAATTAACTAATTATTGCTAATTACATGAATTCTACCTTTTTCTGTATTCACATGACCCCCTAAAAAAAGCTTTAAAATCTTCAAAGCCATGCAGGAATGTCGAGAGCCAGCACGGGCCTTGGGGCTAACATCCTCGCCAGGCCCCCTTTTTCTCTCTCTTTTTAACATTTTCAAGAATATATTAAAAAGAAGATCCTGAATTAGGACAGCAACGAGCTCATAAACCAGACAAAATCATATTAATTAGTACTCAAATTATTATTTTAGTCGTTCTTAATGTATCAAGCGTCTATATGCAAAGAAAAGCCAA